TTCTTGAGACCATCTAATAAAGTTCTTGAGAGTTCCCGAATAGGCTCCCCCTTGTGCTTTGGGGGGAAACTGCTGTGCGTCTCTAGAAATTCCAGACAGACCGCGCAGAAGCATAACTGCAAAACTGGTTCGCATCCAGACCCAAGCGAAATTTCATGTGTGCCGTTGCAAAAGTATAATCTGCCCTTAAGTGGGCAGATTATACTTATACATGATGGAGATATACAGCAGCCAATCCTGTCTTGCTTCTAAACCTCTTTAAAAAGTGAAAAGTACTGTGGTTATAGGCAACCTTCAATACAGTGGGCGGGATTGGTTAAACATAAAAGCCTGGCAGCGCATCAACTCACTGTGATAAAATGGCAACCATTACAACATCTAAAGGTATTGATAATTGAAATAACATTTTCTTGACCCATTCAGTACTTGGACTCCTATTTGAGTTCTATTTTTATATATATATATATATATATATATATATATATATATATATATATATATATATATATATATATATATATAATTGCTCTTTATACAAGACAATCCAGTTGGATGCAATTTCATGACTTAATGAAGTCAACTTGCCCTAAAGGCCTCTACTGGGATGGTATGCCACATCTACAGATTGATTTGAAATGAGTTGATTAGTCCAAAGTTTTCTTAGCCACTGTTTATACTCTGCGCGTTTTAGAAAATGATATTTAGAGGATTAGGCTGTGATAATTATGGGAGTCATAATTAGCTCCTGTTGCCTTCAGCTTTATCACAGCTGGGGCTCAGATCTCTGTCTGAGTAAAAATGAACAAACGTTTTGGATTTGCCTTGAGAGAGAATTAACAGAACTAGAAAGGAAGGTTAAGTTTGTTTAAAAGTTAGTAAGGTGGTGTTGGTCTCATCTTGGGATTAAGAGGTGCAGTAGTCAGGAGAAAAGGTGTTTTTGTCCCCTTCTCTATCCTAGCATGGAGAACATGGAAACAAAAATTCAAAGGGCAAACTAGTCCGACGGGGGAAAACAGTCACATTTTCATCAGAATACAGCCTGATGTATTTTTAATGACTTCAAAGTCTTTGTAAGCTCAAACTTCAAGGCATCAAATGGGATTTTTTCCCCCCTTTTTTTATTAAATGAGCAAATCCATCTATGAATTTAAGTAATACAGCCACTGAGGAAAAGAGCAGTGTTCCGAGGTGGATTTTAAATTCTTTTAAAACAATGACTTAACCCTAATAATAGCTGTAGATAAAACCAAATGGGACTTGGTAAACAGGACACCATATAGTTCTTTGGTTTGTCTGTATTATGTATTCGTATTTTAGATTAATAAGTTTGACTAAAATGTATTGTTATTTTACCAAAAGCTATAGATCGAATTATCTGGATGATTTTACAAAATCCATGTTTTGTTTCGCTCTTTGACATGATTATAGCAGTTTCAGATTTATATTCAACAAATCTAACATAAGAAGATGTAAGAACAGCATAAGTATTTTTATAGCCTTTTTGCCGAGCATTGCATAGAGAGGATACACCTCTACAATGATGCTTTAAATGACGCCAACATTTTAAAACCCAGGGTGAAAGACGTTTCAAACTTTTCTAAAATAACAAAACAATATATGATAAACAATAATATAGAATGAGAAAAATTAAAAGAAAATATTCAATTTAGCAATCTTATTATCTGCCAAAAATCTTTTACTCTTTTACATATATTTATATGTCCAGCAATGTATTTTAGAGAACTGTTTACATTTAGGCAAGGTGTCTTTTACAACTCTATTCTTTCTATATTTCATCACAACATCTGGTACCCCTCTTTAATGAAATAAAACCCCACAGTCGTCAGAGAAATAACTAGAATCTGACAAAAGTAATGAAATTTAATTCTATGAAAATTAACTAATGAAATTCAGACATTGATTTATAACCACACTTCAATAGAATGATTTTAAAATAAACATTCATTAACAAAAAGGCCTGGAGAAAAATGACTGAAAATAATGTGACCCACTTAAAGGCTATATGACCATATCCGAGCAGCTTGATTCAGAAATGTAGGATCTATAGGACTGTAGCCAACCTCCCTGAACATGGGCCACAGGAAGAAAATTGATTAAAATAAAAGAGACGGATAATACAAATGGTATAAAACATCCCAGAAAACTTCTAAAGAGGTTAAAGGTGAACCTGAAGATCAAGGAACATCAGTGTCAGTGTACACACTGACAAGTGACAAGTGTATCCCTTTTTGTTTGAGCCAAAAGTGGACTTTATGGGAGACTACTTAGACTGACACGATTGATAAAAACAAATCATTAAAAAGCCAGATTGAATTTGCCAATCTACATGCTGATATGCCTCAAAGCTTTTAGGACATCGTCCTATGGACAGATGAGACATAAATGGAACTTTTTTTTTATCAAGGAACATCTGCTCCATGTTAACAGATGGAAAAATAAAGCCCATAAAGAATAAAACACTATCCATATTGTGGAAAAAATGGAGGAGGCTTTGTTATGCTCTGTGGCAGCTTTGTCTAATCTAGCGCAGGGTGTCTTGAATCTCTGCAGAGGACAATCAAATCACAAGACTTTCAAGAGATTCTTGATAGAAATGTTTGCTGAGGATCAGAAAGCTTGGTCTTAGTTACAGGTCTTTGGTCTGCAAGAGAATAATAATGAAAACACACAGCTAAAAGCACAGAAAACAGTGGACAAAAGGAAAACATTGGACTATTCTGAAGTGGCCTTCTAAGAGCCCTGACCAAAATCCTATGGAGGATATTTGGAACGAGCTGAAACGTGTCAACTGGAAAGGGCTCCCTTCAAACCTAAGAGGCTTGCTCATGAGGAATGGTCCAAAATACCTGCTGAGAGGAGCAGAAATTTTATTGACAGTTATAGTAATATTTTGATTGCAGTGATGACTTAAAGAGAATGGGCACCAAAATATGAATCTATATGTACCTCACATAGATTCAATTTTTAGCCAGGCCTGTTTCATAAGTGTATTTTCTTTAGGTCATTTTGTTGAAGCATCATTGGAAAGCAATGTCTGAATTCATTTTTTTCATAGAATTTTTATTTATAATTTTACTATTATGGGTTTGTCTTTCATTAATTGAGGGGTACCTACAATCCAAATGTGTATGCAATACTGACAAAGAATATCTTTTAGTATTTTTCCTCAATGACTTCCACACTGAAGAGGGTTATTGTTAAGATTTGTTTTCTTTATCTGTTTGCTTGAAGAAACCTTTTTGGATTTTTTTTCTCATAGGTGAGGAACGGTTCAAGAATATTACCTTTGTCAATTAATTATTCAGTTTTCACTAGTTCTGCTGGTTGACCCTTTTGTTTAATCAAATTCACCCATCCTCCACCCTCTGCTGCTTCCTTATCAATAGTGGTTTACAATGCAAATTCATATAACACGTTTACAGAAGTCGTGTACTACAGCCATGTGTTAAAGTGCTGACAGGGGCACTCTTATGGTAGGCATTGCATTCATTTAGCAAGTGCCTAATGTTGTGGGTGCTTTGGCTGACTTAAAACCATGAAGAGGACAGCCGGCCCTGAATGTGTGGAATAAGAGAGAGGATCTGCTCCTGTACCCTCGGAGAGCTCATCCTATCATTTTGAAAAAAAGAAGAAAAAAAAAAAATCTAGCTAGGGTTTTGCACCCAGCTTTTCTGCTTGCACGGTTGTCCAGGATTTTTCCATGCTTTGCAGGAGGCTTCCCCAGTTCCCGCTGTGCCTCCTGCCTGTGCTTTCTGGGTGTGAGTAGCTGTAACTTCATAATCAAATTTGTGCGCCTTTTCACCATGCAGCGCTTTACACAGACTTATTTTTTTCTATATCTGTTTCGTTCTGTTTCCACTTTATTTAATCTTCTGAAAATTGCTCCATGCCCAGAGTTGTTGTCCAGGAACACAGTCTGCTGTAATAAAAGTAACTCGGGGGGCCTTCTTTTATTTCGTTCACAGTTGCAGGCAGACGTGTTTTAATTAGTGGGGCATTCCAGAGGGTGAGTTAGCTACTCGGTGTGGGAGAGAGGGTAAGTGAAGAGGAGCAGATGAGTGTTGGTGACAGTCTCTCCCCTCTGAAGCAGATAAAGAAGAAAACTGAGACTGGTTCTGCTATTCTGCAAGGCCAAGCAAGAATAGAGTTTGATGATGTGAGGTTTAAAAAATGAGTTGCAATTGCAGAGACCTTGTTGCACATCTTTTGCATATTAACAGCGCATATCTCATGCTTAAAACGTTCTGCTAAATTGCTGTGCAATCACACTGACTCATCCAGAAGTTAAAATGAAGCCTTTTTTTGGGACTGAAATCATCTCCTACTGTGAGATATCATCTCCTCTGTCTTCAAAATAACATCAAAATCTTAGGATTGGGTTTATCTTCAAAGTATTTTCTTTTTTTTTTTTAGTAGATGATAAAAGATAAGATAAAAGTAGATGTTTACTGACCTACCGATGACCTATGTTGTTAGACATTATATTGCTTCAATAATAGTTGCTAAGCCGATCATTGCTGATGAGAAATTTCTGAACAACAAGAGTGAACTTGGAGTAGAAAAACCAAACAAAAAAAAAAGTTTTTTAAGCCGTCACGACCGCCTAACTTTTTTTTTCTTTCTTAGTGGAAATAAAGGTAATCTGCGCCTTTCAAGGAACAGACTTCTCATTGCCATAGCGATAGGAAATGACAGAAAACCAGAACACATCTGTCATAGCTATACGGTATCAAACTGCTAGCCTTTCAGCAGCAGCATACTGGTGCTCACATGTGGTGCCTCTAGAAATGTCAAATGCCAAAGTACACTGGCTTGCATCACCATAACTCATCATCTGAGAGATATAGATGGTGTGCAACCAAATCTCTAACTATTAGCTCTTTCTATCTTGCATATAGTGGATTCTAAAGTAATGTCCTCCCTATGCACAACACGGTTTTGTTCATTGCCTGTTTTTGTACCTGTGTTTCTCTCTAAAGCAACCAGCTCCACGAAGCTAGAGGACCTGAGCTTCCTTGATGAACAGCGCAACACACCCCTGCGGACATCTATTCGCCTGCCTTGGCACAACACAGGAGGGAGGCCCCCGCAGGATACTAAAGGTGACTGTGCCATTATCCATTTATGCTGCAAATACACTGGATTATCTCATCATAATAACTGAGAATGCTGTCACATCTAAGTAACAGTATTGCCTTATTTATATTTATGCATTTAGCAGATGCTTTTATCCAAAGTAACTTATGAAGTAGACAGAATTTTACATTTAGGATCAATATGACAATAAGTTCCCTAGAGAAAAAAATCCCTGGTCAAAATCAGTGGTGACAGCAAAGAGAGAGAGGGAAGTGCAGAACGAGCAGTAGAGGAGTTTCCTGAAGATGGAAAGGGACACTGCTGTTCGTTTAGTGCTTGGTAGGTCATTCCACAGTCTTGGAACAACTGATGAAAACAGTCTGGATTGTCTTAAGTGTGGCGTAGGCATCGCTAGATGACAATCCATTTATGACTGGAGTGACCGAGTCGTGACACCAGCCTTTGCAAGAGAGTTCAAGTTGATGGGAGTGGTACCCTTAAGCACTTTGTAGGCTAGAATCAGGGACTTGAATCTGATGCGGGCAGCCAGGGTAACCAGTGACGCTCAATGAACAGAGGAATGACGTGAGACTTTTTGGGCTGATTGAAGACCAGACACGACACCGCGTTCTGAATCTTTTTTAAACCTTTTACCGTACAGGCTGAGAGACCAGTCAGGAGTGCGTTACAATAATCAAGGCGAAAGATTTGCATAGCCTGCACCAGCGGCTGATGAATGCCCTGCAGGCGTATTTACCTCAGATAAACATGCACAGTTTCACATTCACACCTTTTGACACACTATTTTTTTTTCTACATTTCTCTCAACTGAAAGCATTTGAAATGTGTAATGAATTTGTATAAAACCTCCTTGGATTAATATTTGTAGGACCACCTTTTGCTGCAGCCGCACATTTCTATCACGCTTCCAATTCACATGCCACATTCTTTGACCAGCAGTTCATGGTTAGTCAGACTGACTAGCATCCTCCTCTTAAAAGTGATTTTTAAATCTAAAAGCACATTTAAAATTGAACATGGCTCTGAAATTGAAATTCCTCTCAGCAATAGCTGTGGTTTTGGGTGACGTTTTGAAGAGTGTTCCTCATTTAGCTGTATATTCTTCTCCATATGTGAGCTTTTTGTATTGCTGATCAAAAAGTTCAGCTTTGGTCGCATCCGACCAGATCATGTTCTTCAGCATGTATGAGTTCCTTTCAGGAGTTGTGGGAAACTGAGAGCTGAATGTTCAATGGCTTTCCTGGTTCTAAACTTTACCTCTGACCCATCTGCTGAATTCCATAGCTTTGTGATGCTGTTAATTCTAACAAACCTCTAATGCCTTCAAAGATCAGCTTCATTTATACTGGGGTTAGATTGTAAAACAGGGAACTCTGTTTACTAATTATTTGACCTATGAGGGTAATGAATTTCCATGCATTTGAATTTAAACTCTAATGTGATAAAAGTAAACAAGTTTAGTAATTATGAATACATTTTAAGGGGATGTATGTTTACATCGAGGCTCTGCATGCTGTGATATATTTAGTCAGTTGTTGGTCATTTACGGCTGCCGATGCCCAGTTCAGTGTTGGATTTTAGTGACCAGTACCCTAAGGGAGTTATGTGAGCTGTGTGTTAATGGAAAATAATAAAAGGAAAATGTGACTTAAATCTAATGCTTAAAAATAAGATTGAAATTGCATATTTTCTAATATTTGTCGGATTTAATTTTATGCAAATGTATATTTAATGCAATTTATATTCAAGGCACAGTGTGCTAAACAGTTGTTTTTAGGTTACATTTCGTGTAATCTGTTCACAGACCAAAAAAAAAAAAAACAGAGATTCCCCCTCTCCAAAAGTTAGAGGTGGAAGAATAACAAGAAAATAAATTCAACATTTCTCTGAACTTTACAAGCTACTGACAGAATTCCTTTGCAAAGTGAAAACCTGTCTTTTTTATTGAAAGAAAAAAAACCCCGAACACATCAAAAGAAAACAAGGTTCAGAGATACCCACAGGAGAAGTCGTTGATGGAATAGAAAAGGTAAAAACCTGAGCATGTAAGTGGTGCCTGTTAGTTTTAAAGAAGTACTTGAGGAATGAGGGAGACACTTTCAGGTTGTATAAGAGAGAACCTGCAGGACCTTAAGCTAACGCCAGCATAGCTAATGAATATTTCAGGGTCACAAGAGCAATTATAACTACAAGGCTTCTGAAAAGAGTGATTTATCAAAGGCGCTCGGTGATGGTAAAGAGGGTTTCTGCCTTCTGAACTTGGACTGGAAACTAACATCAGAACTGATTCCAAGGGTTTACTCTGGGTTGCACAGGGAAGATGAGCTTTTTCCATCAAAAGCTGTCTGTATAAATAATGAAAAATTGGGTCTGAATGTTTCCTGTTTATGGATGTATCAAAGCATAGCTTCACTCTCTGCTGTCTGATATGTTTTCAGTGCTAGAATCATTCGATTTTCACCCCAGCTCTGACCAAACATTCATGTTTTTTAAAATCCATTTAGGACTGAAACAGTTAATCAGATTCATTGTTATTAATCGATTATTGAAATAATTAAGTAATCGATTAATCGTTATATTGTATGGAGTATAGAGACTCTACAACCTGCTTTTAGCTGACAGAGCAACCCACTTAAAGCATAATTATTCCACAATTTGAAAAAAGAAAAAAATATATAAATATATATGTATAAACATTTTGCATTTGTGATGAAAAACTTTTTGGTCTGTCACCATTTCCTATCCAGACATCCTCAAGTGGAAAAGTTGTATTTTCCCCTGGTTTCAATTTTTTAACACTTTTTCTTTAAGCAACCTTTTTCTATCCGATTATTTATCAATTAATCGGAAACATAATTGACATATTAGTTACAGTCCTATTAATGACAAACTAATGCTCAGTAATACAGGGATTTTCTAATCAACTGAAATTTTAAAGTCTCAACTGTTTATCTTCTTTTAAATTTAATTTTAAAAAACGAATTTGTTGATTCATAAGACAAAATTAAATCTTGTTGTTTGCTAGTTTTCTTTTTTAAATATGTATATTGTTTTAAAGCAACAGCCGAAAAACACAGAACTTTCTCAAAGGCATCTAAGTAATGCTTATCTTTTCTTCAAAAAAGAAAACGACTCGCCATTCTGTTTTTGTTGCAATTTTTAAGATATTTTTTTTGTATCAGAACATTTAAAAATAAATAGGTAATGCATTAAAACATATTTTGGGAATAATCTCTGATTAGCTGTTATCTATTTTCTGCAATAGCCCTAATCGGCATTCTATGATCTGTCATTAAGGGTTTATATTAGGAGCAGGGGGGACGTCATTCTGACTGAGGCAGAGAAACAGATCAGGTGCTATTAGATAAATAGGATTTTATTAGTTTTACACATCAGTGCCGGTCATGTCTAATACCAGCAGATTCCAATCCCTGTCTGATTATGTCTCATCTAAATAAACCATTAAATTCAATTCTGATTTATTTGTTACCACCCTGTCCTCCACTCTCTTTTACTTATAGGACGCTTTGCTCCCTACAAGCCTTCAGACATCATGCTGAAGCCTCTGCTGTTCGAGGTACCCAGCATCACTACCGACTCTGTGTTTGTTGGCCGAGACTGGCTCTTTCAGCAGCTGGAGGATCTCCTAAAGGCCGGCGAGGACAATGAAAAGCATGGAGTGGTGGTGGTGGGTAGCGTCGGGTATGGGAAGACGGCCATTATCTCCCGGCTAGTAGCGCTGAGCTGTCATGGAGGACGTATGCGCCAGATCGCCTCCAACAGTCCCAGTGCCTCCCCTAAAAGTAAGATGTTTTTTTTCCTTTTTTCTTTTTCTTTTTTTTTTTTTTTTTGGCGATTGCAAAAGGTTTTTTTAATGAAGCTACCTTAAATCTGTTTTACCTGCGTTTTAAGTTGTCTAATTAAACTTGACATATTTCCCACTAAAAACAAAACTGAAATTGCTTGATATCAAAACGTTTTTGTCTCGATGATTTGGTATTTAGCAATCAGAAAACTGAGGCATGCATTCTATGCAATTATCTGGTTTCCTCAAACTATATGCAATAAAAAGCCATTTTTTTTGCTAGCATGTATGGGACAAGAACTCCCCCTCAGCCAGCCCCCACAGCCCAGCCCTCCATCCAGTGCCACCAACACACTGAGCAACAGCTGTCCAGGAACTCCTGAGACGCAACGGCGCCGCGAGGAGGCTGTCAAACGTCTGGCTACAAAGGTACATAGCTAAATCTTAAACTTTCTGATGCCACTTAATCCAATGATCCATAATGCAGGATTACCTTAAATGAACTGATCTTTATTTCCAAAGAGCTTCTGCAGTATGGTTAACGCTTTTCTCCAAATTCTCATTTTCTTATCATGAAACAAGAGAGTCCAAAAGGTGAAACAATACCTCTTAATAGCTTTTAATTTCTCTATTATTCTGCATGCATATTGTGGTTTGGTGGTGTGATACAGTCGGTTTTACTGGGTTTAACTGTGTCAGTGCAGCTTGTTGATTAAGCAAAAAAAAATAAAAAATTTTCTTTAAAAAGAAAAAAAGAAAGATTTCTAGGCCTTTTTCTTTTTAATACTCATTTGCAAAAGTAAATGTCTGTAAATTTCTTTTGATGGAAAAAAAATCAAATTTCTTGACATCTTTAATTGGAAATTAAAGCCGAAATTTGACGCCACTTTCAGATGTACTTTTTTTTTTCACCTGTTGATGCTGATTTTAGCCAACTCCAAGCTTTTTAAGAACTATTACAAAGAAACATATTGCAATAGCATTCAAAATATAATTTGATGACCAGGTATATGAGCAGAAACAACGTCTCACTGTGTTTGTTTGAGAGCATTTGCTCTAAAACCGCTTGCCGTTATTTTGAAACAGCGAAAACTTATTACAGAGTTGACATTTTAAATTGCCTGTACCAAACACAGAAGTTGGCGTTAATAATTAAAAGACTCAGTCTCTGTGCATATTCCCTAGAGATTGCACACTTGTACCCTAACTTTGAGATTTCCAAAGGTTACCAACGTTTCCTTACTCAGCATTTTTTATTAATACAGAAGTTTAAAGCTTAAAAAGATAAAAAGGAAAACATTGCTGTTATCTGTTCAGTCGTTTTGTTATCTGCAGAAAATCTTGTTCGGTTTATTTTTTCACAGCCTAAATAACTATATCCTATCATGTAGCTTCTTTAGATTTTTTTTTTCTTTTTTTCTTTTGATTTATTGAATCTTAACATTAGCTTTTTTTGTTTCTTCCCCTCATTGATAGCATTTGCTGACCCAAATTGTTCTGTTTTTTTTTTTGTTTTGTTTTTTCCAACCATTTTCTACCTTGTTAGGGCCCATCAAGCTGGAAATCCACCAAACTCGATCACTAGTTGACATTTTAGTGCATTTCTGCTATCCTAAAACTATAAAAGTAAACTGTGGGCAGACATTTGCAGACTAGTGGACCACTCGTTTTATTGCTCACTTTGTAGCATTTTTATCCCTTTGTACTTTTATTTTATTAGCTGCTGTTTATGACCCACATCTACAAATTGGGCAATCAGGTAATTTCTTCAGGGTTGCTGATTTAAAATCAAACTAAATGTGGTTGGAAAGATTTCGCTGCTCTCCCATCAGTTCTCTTTGGTCAAATAACAAAAGTTAAACAGTTACTCCTTATTTGATTAGATCTGCTAATTGCAAACTGTGAGGTTTTATACATTATTGGATATATTTTCTCCGTCATTGATCTTGCATTGTTATTAGTCTAATGCTATGTTTTTTTAACTTATTGACAGCCTTCTTGGGGACTAAACATGCTCTGTTGTAGAGGCCTTTTGGTCTCTCACACATTGATATGATACAGCTTTCTCTTGCCGTAGGGAAAATTCACACACTACGTTGCTAACTATTTATGCACTGAGCCTGTAAACGTCTGTGAAGCCTAAAAACATCTCTTGAGCCAATTAATGTGTAAAGTGTTTCCAATCGGCGCTCTCTCTCTCTGGGGCTCTGTTCCTGTGATGTGTGAACACTGATGCAATGCTGAGCAGCGTCTGTCAAATTCAGCCACTTCTTTTTAATCACTGATTTAAAGGCGGTTTCATATCTGCGCTCTGAGGCTGTTTCATGTTATGATGCATCACAAGCTTTAAATCATTTTATGTATTTATTTTTTTATTTTTTGTGACTAAAAACTCTTGCAGATGTTATTTCTAAGCATTAATTTATAGTTGTGCTTTTAGATTAACTGCTACAGGTTTACTGCAGTGTTGCATCAGCTTGTCTTGTATTGTTTATTGGTGCAGCAGTCTGCATGACTCATATACATAAATGAATTATTTGCTGAATCAAAGCACAGGTTGCTCAATTGGATCAGATCATAATTTTTCTTCTTTTACTACAATGCTTTACTGTAGGGGGGGGGAGTGTTCTCTAAGGTATGCTTTTTTGGTTAGTTATTTAATGATGGATAAAAATTTCACATCACTGTTCTCTTTGGGTAGCACAGTTATGATATATCTTCTCTCTCGAACCATATTGTTCCTACTTGTCTATATTTCAGACCACAGCTTCTAGTTTCTAAAAAGGAATCAAGAAAATTATTTGCTTGCATTTTTAGCTTAATAATTTCCAGTTTTAATCAGTATAAAATAACTATATATATGTTTACATAAACTTGTTTATATTGTCACCTTATAACCACAAACTTCACTATATATCATTAGGATTTTATGTGGCCACCAAAAAAATCCGTAATTATAAAGTGTATAAATAAATTTATTTTAGAATAAAAACCTAAAAGTCTAGTCACTCTGCTAAAATACACGGAGGTGGCACCATCATGGTTTGAGGAGATTTTCTTTCTGCAGGGATTGAGAAGCTGGTATAACCACAGGTCAGTCCTAGTTGTAAAAGGTTTAGAGGCTGCAAAACATTTGATAAAAAAACAACAACTAAAAGCAAGGATAGTCAGCACTTAAATTAGTACAGCCAAAAACATTTGAGCAATTTGGATTGTTTCTATCAGGCGCCCTGCTACAATACTCTGGGCTCCATTTTATGTCAATGCATTGAGTAGAGTCTGTCATTGCACTTCTAATATTAAGCGTTATTGGCGCGAAGTATGTGCATAAAAGTTTATCATTTATTTATTTTCTTCAGTTCTTTGGCTAAACTCTCAATTTATCAAGATCATTTATATGTTTTAGATAACTGTAAGGATTTACTAGTGGCCATGCGGTATTTTGGAGCGGCAGACAAACAAAAGATTAGCTGCAAAGACCATTGCTCCAAATGGATCACTCATAATTTTCTTTGTATGTTTCTTTCTTTACAGGTGTCTCATTTGTTTTTTCAGACTTTATGGAAAAATTTCGAATGCAATTCTCTGTAGGTTATGTATTCTTCTCTCGCACATCATGTTCTAGTCTGTCTGTGTTTCAGAACGCCTATTAAAAGGAATTATCTATTCTCTTTTAGGCAGCTAAAATTTAATATGTATACTCTATAATTCGTGATAAATATTGTTCTAAATTTTTTTTCTTCAGTACCCATTAACACTTGGATTATATTTTCAAATATTGGAGGAATTTATTGACGTAAATGTTTAAAGGGTACTTATATAGGACCTTTATTCTGTGAGACTGACAAAGACCTAAATTATTCACTCGCTAAAATACACAGGTGGCAGCTACATTGAAGTTCCACTCTGCAGGGCATTGAGACAGGAATACCCAGTACATCCAGGTTGTTAAAGCAGGTGTGTTGAGGCTCAAACAATGAAAGTACATCACGCTATGAAGAAGTGATAGCTATCCTTAACATACAGCCATGGGAACAGTGGAACAATTTGGATCGTACCGTCTACATTGGCGGCCCTGTTAAAGTATAGGCCCATAATCCAATTTATAATCTGTGGCAAGACTTAAAAAGAAAGTTTAATATTCATTCTCAGTCCAACCCTCAGATCTTAATGTTTTTAATAAAAACAGTATTTAGAAAGCTGCTGAAGACATTGCCCAAAAATGAATGTATAGCATTTCTGTAAGATATGTTTTTTTTACAGTGTTGTCTCGGATTTGTTTAATATCCAGACTTTTAAAATTCTGATATGCAAAACAAAAAAGCAACATCTATTCTATTCTATTTCTTCAATTCTGCAAGCATACAGTATTTGTCCGTCTGTGTTTGCCTCAAAAACCCTAATAAATAACAATGAAGTTTTCTATTTTTTTAGGCAAGAAAAAAAAATTTTGAAATATGAATCCCTTCAAATTCCAGTGGCAAATAAAATACTTGTCTGAATCTTTTTTTTTTTCTTTTAGTATGCCCATTTTTTAATCAGTGTTGTGGGATTTTTACATTTTCAAATATTTTTGTCTTCTGTCCACTGAATACCAGTAGCAGGAACCTTGATTGGTAAGATTGCTGCTGCAACAGATTTAATTTTCCACTTCTTCTGCTTTCAGCCTGTTTTTTTTTTTTTTTTTTTTGGATAGCCTGCAGGACATAAGCTTCGTTGTTGATCTTGTCACAAGCATTTTTTTAGGGGGTGTTAGGGTATCAAACAGCAGAGCCAGTTAAAGGAAGAATAGAGAAACATTTCTATTTCTGCTCTTCCTACTGTCTCTGGCAGACTGTCAGTTCCTTCAGGTTGGACTGTAATAAATACAAGTTCACATTCTAAATTGAATTTCTTTATTTTTTCTCTTCCCAACTCTGTCCTTTATTTTATATGGTAGATAGGACTACTTTTAAGTAATTTAGAGAGATTAAACCTATTTGTTGACGTTAACGTTGACCTATATTTCATTTATTTTCTGTTGAGCTCGATTAATTAAGAGGATTCAGCAAAGCTTCTGATCTAAAAAATAAAAGAAAGCCAAGAAGTTCTTAAGTCCCTCAGTTGTTTAGCAAATTCTGAATTTGCCTCCTCTTATTTTTCCAGGTTGTTGCGTATCATTATTGCCAAGCCGATAACACCTACACTTGCTTGGTACCAGAGTTTGTACACAGTATTTCAGCCTTACTGTGCAGAGCCCATCAGCTCACCGCTTATCGAGAGCTGCTGCTGAGAGAGCCACACCTTCAGAGCATGCTCAGCCTGCGCTCCTGCGTCCAAGACCCCATGGCTGCTTTCCGAAGAGGGGTCCTAGAACCACTGGCCAACCTTCGTAATGGTGAAAAATTTCAGTCTACTTTTAAATATTTTCCATAAATTTATAATAATTTTGTGTGCTTTTTATGCTCTTAAAGTAGAGCAAAAAGAACATTCTATTTGCCAAAAGAAAAAATCTCTTTGAGACTGATAAATGTTTAATCATAAAGCTCCTATAGCTGGGTAGCTTGATTGAACTGATGCTACTCTGATCAGCTTTTCTGTACTAACTGTCTCATCGTTGTTTTTTTATATTTACAGAGAAGAAAATTTCAGGGGAGGACCATCTCATTTTGATCGATGGACTTAATGAAGCAGAGTTTCATAAGCCTGACTATGGAGACACCATTGCATCATTCATCACTAAGATCATTCCTAAGTTCCCCCCCTGGCTGAAGCTGGTGGTGACTGTCCGGGTCAACTTAATGGTAAGGAATAGACTCTAATATAAAGGAAACCTTGGTTGGAGCTTTTTGCTCCTTCTTAAATTACATTAAAGGTACAATAACTGTGTTAATGTTGGAATCTAAAAGGAGAAATATAACTGTCTTTATTAACTTTATACACATAACTGAAGTGCAGTAAGAGTTTCACGTGTTATCTTATTCTAAATTAAATCAGCTTGGAATCGGAAAAAAAATCTAGCTGTTTTTATTGGCATAAGAGTTTGTTTGAGAACATTAATGAACATTAGCTTCATGTAGACCAAGAATACAGCAGACAGAGGGTTAATAAAAGTAATAATATGTCCTTTTTGCATTTTTACACATTTTTTCCTACTAGACTGTAAACATGTGAAAAAAGTTGCTGGGGTGATCTTAGTATAAATTCAAATTGTCAGAGAATTAACAATATACATCACCCTGAACACCCCATCCTAGTGCTGAGGTATGGTGGTGGCAACGTCATGATGTGGGGATGCGGTTCTTCACCTGGGACAGAATTTTTTTGCCTTCAACTGAAGATGAGATAAATACAGGGAGAAAGAAAAAGTAAGCCTGTATATTAGAAGCATCAGAAGAAATCAGACTGTGAGGGAGATGTAAAGTTTCAGCAGGACGTGACTTTTAAACAAATGACCAAGGCTACTGTAGCATAGCTTAGTTAGACATATTGATGTGCTGATCTCTGTAATTTTGAGACCTGAATGGAACTTAGAATCTAGGTTGAGCTCTAAAAAATATATGATAACAGAGGATTTCCAAGAAGTTTGACTGTTCTCAAGATATTTTACAAGAATGAGCTGAAAAAACTTTCCACCTCCTAATATGCAAGCTTTAACTTTTGATGGATGGATGGATGGATGGTAACCTTGATCTGCTGTCACTTACTGACGTGCTCTGTAGACTTTAACAAATGTGAGACCCCCTGTCCTGAAAGGCCAGCATTTCCAAGAAAAAGTAGCAGATGGAGACTAAGAACTGAAGTTTGCATTTCCGTAAGAGAGGAGTCTTGGACTTGGGCTTCCCAGCTTGATGATACTTGGTTAAACAGCTGTAAAGTTCTTCTCGGGCTGCGTTGAGGTCACTGTGGCCCATTGAGCCAAGCAACGGCTGACTGAGTCGTGAATAATAATGCGGTTGCTGACTGACATCCAGAATAGAGGTTATTGATGCTCAAGCAGAAGCCAGATATTGACTGCTGTCCATCAGCTTGCGCTGCCAACACAGTCTGGTTATTTATTAATTATCTCTTTTTCATTTCATCCTGCAAAGCATTTGAAAATTCTGAGGCTGGCACTGTTTACTCGCTGTGGTTACTTTCCACTATGTGGAAACATTGATTATGTTTTTTATGATCTGACTGTGTTATGCTATAAATAAAGTTCTTGTGAATGAATAGGCGCTAAGTTTGCTGTTCTGTAGCCTCTGGGATGTTTTTTTTTTTCTTCATGATTTCCATTGCGTTGTTTTCTAACATGGAGTTTATCCGCAAGGCATTGCCTTGGCTTCACCTGTCAGTTCATTGAGTCTGTGCCTGTGCATGACTTCGGGCCCATGTGCCTGTTTGCCTTGTTATGACAAGGAGGAATAAGAGTTATCTCACTCTGGCCATGTTTCTCGAGCCTCAGACAGGCAGAGGATTGGGGGATTAAGGCGTATTGCCCCTGCAGGACATGAATTGAAATGTGAACTCTGGATAAGACCTCTGCTTACCTGCTAGTAGCTACCATCCATCCCCTGCCTCCTAATACTCTCACTACCTTGTCCTGTCAACCTCAATGCTTCTTTTCCAACAGTAACAGTTTTCTGTTTTGGTCTGATAACGTACTGGGCGTACTCCCCTGCTGTTCAAATACACTCTACACATAATTTAGTGCCTAAAACATATTCATATACATGAACCCGTTTCACTCTTTGTCATGTTAAAGTTTAAAACTTCACTACATGTTGTTGGGATACAATTGAACGATCAATACAGAATACCTAAACGTGAGGTGGGTTGTTGCACAAAAAATACCTTAATTTGGGGCACTTTATTTTTTTTGCAAAAGATATAAAGCACTCTCAGATTAAAGAATTTATGTGTGTGAATGTTATACTGTTATATACATTTATTTGTATAATTTAAGTGCAATTTTGTTCTGTTCTGATTTCCCGTAATGCTTTGCTCTAACTGGTGTCACTTCGGATTGGGATGTTTTTAGTGGCCGTGTTCAGGCTGATGTGCAGAGCTGGTTTACTGCAACACAGGGCAGCAGGATTCATAGTATTTGTGACATCATTATCATCAACCATTTCCAAGTATCCACAATTGTAAAGCACTGAATGGACGCAATATTTAATAGCATGAGATTTAAGATTTAAGAGGCGTTATCAAGCTTTTCAATAATACTGCCACCTGTAGTCAAAAGACAGAACTGCAGTACTCTTCTACTCGCTCTCGTAGCTTGCGGTCGTACTTGTAAGGATTTTTTTTTTGTTTTCTTTTTTTTTTTTTTAGTTCTTTCTAGGGTTGAAACAATTATGATTAATCGATTATTGAAGTAATGGTCAACTAATTTAGTCATTGATTAATCGTAACTGGAGTGTAGAGACTGTAAAATGTGCCTTTAGCTGACGGAGCAACCCACTTAGAGCAACAATTATAGGAAAATTTAAAAAAAAATCTTTGTCTGTCAATTTACTCTATCCAGAACTAGTTTAATTTCCCCAAATTCTTCTTTAAGGAACGTACATATCTACCTGGCTACCCGATTACTAATCAGTTAATGGAAAAAAAAAACAATCGACAGACTCATCGATTTGCAAAATAATCGTACCACTGAGGGGTCAGTTTGATCTGATGTTTTAGTGTGAAAGATCAAATAAAAAAGGCTATTTTAAAGCTAATTTTCAGTAAAAACTTACAAGATGTCTCTTTGCGCACTACTGTTGTGTAATTCTTTGGTGCATTTTTTTTTTTTGCCTTATCCGTTACAGGAGATCACCAGCCTTCTACCCTTCTCTAAAATCTCACTGGATGATTTTACGGACAACAAAGAGATCGCCAATGACCTCAATTGCTACATCCAGTACAGGATCAATAGCAGCAAGGATATAATGAACAACATGAGCCTGAATGGCAAAGCGGATCCCGGCACTATAACCAAGCTCAGCAGCCACCTGATCTCCCGCAGCCAGGGTTCCTACCTGTATCTCAAACTCACTCTGGATCTCTTTGAGAAGGGCCACCTTGTAATTAAAAGTGCCAGCTACAAAGTAGTGCCTGTGTCACTGGCTGAACTTTACCAGCTGCAGTGCAACATGAAGTTCATGACCAACTCGGCCTTTGAGCGCTCTCTGCCTATCCTGAATGTCGCTCTTGCGTCTCTGCACCCCATGACTGATGAGCAGTTGTTTCAGGCCATCAACTCTGGCCACATCCGAGGGGAGCTGCAGTGGGAGGACTTCCAACAGCGCATGGAGCTGCTCTCCTGCTTTCTCATCAAACGGCGAGACAAAACGCGCATGTTCTGCCACCCTTCCTTCAGAGAGTGGCTGGTGTGGAGAGCTGATGGAGAGAGCACAGATTTCCTCTGTGACCCCAGGTCAGTCCTCAAATGTTATGCTCTCAGCAGCTCTTCCTTAGGAATGTGGGCCTCTGTTACAGGCATGATAAGCTTGTAAAGTATTTAGACAGTACTCTTTCTGTGGATTACAGACTTCAAACGGTCCACAGCAGACTCAAACTGGCTGATAACATGAAAGCAATAACAGGAACATCAGGAAAAACGTGGTTCCCTTTTAGTCTTTGTTTTAAAACTCCACTTTTACCACAGCAAACGCATTTTATTTCACAGTATGATTTCTATTTAATTGTTGTTGTTTTCATGAATCACAGTTTGTGGTTTAGTATGCAAGCAGGGATGTTTTTTTAAAAAGCAAGCAAAATCCTTTAATCAATAAACACATTGTGACTCATGTCTGACTCAGCGAGGTAAATGGGTTTGAGATGCCTCAGGTACTCTATTAATCTCAACAAGTTTAGTTTGTACCAAGTTTTAAAAAAAGGGTTTATAGCAAAGTTTAGGATTAGTTTGTTTGCAGAGCTTTGAATCATCGTGTAGAAGGTGAAACAAAGCTGGTATTTTGTCATTTTTGAAGGTTCATTTATAAAACTTTTTGAATAAGAAACAATGTAAAGACACATAGTGAAAGGGAGCAGACAGAAAATAGAAAATCACAAATTCTAAAGGTTTTACATTATATTCAAGTCAAAAAAGGCAGCCAATGTCTTTTAGTTTACTTTATCGCTTCTTAAACCATAAGGGCATCATAGTACATACGTTTTAGTTCACTATTTTGTAAATCCATGTTCAATTTGTTGCACATTAAGGGAGCAGACTTGGTACAGTATGTTAGAATTTATTTGATACTAACTTCACCTTAAAACCTTGTTTATTGTTTCCTGTTCTAATTAATCTAAAAGGTCAATCAGCAATTGGCTAAATAAAACAATTTTTGCTGCCACAATTTTGAATCTATGTACTTAAAAAAAAAAACTTAAGAAAAGCACTGAAAGTTTTCCTTAGTGCTGCTATGTGTGTAGAGAGTCTCCTCCCTGTGGTCTGCAGAGGTTTATGTGTGCCTGTACCTTTAAATTATCCTGGTAGTCATTGCCTGGCTTTAATCTCTTTAAAGCAAACCTGGTATCAAAATCTTATTGCTCTCTAATAAGTCTGGTTGGGAAAGCTGAAGTGGTCTAAAGCATCAGGTTCTGATGTTTAACAGGTTTTTCTTCTTCAGTTTCTTGTTTTTCCTTCATGTTTGATGAATAGACTTTATGCAAAAGCCCAAATTGCTTCAAATCTGTTTGGATCAAACTTTTGAGGTCAATTCAAAAATGCAGTTGATCGATTAAATGGTGGGGAAAAAAGGCGTAATAGCTGAGGATTTTAAATTAATAATGAAAATATTTATTAAAGCCGGTGAAAGTTCTCAGTCATCTTGGCCTTGGTCATTCCAAAAAAAGAAAATTAAAAACAATCCACTGGACTTTATTTCCAAGTTTGAAGACGTTTCGCTTCCTATCCAGAAAGCTTTTTCAATTCAAAATTTTAGGAATAGTGTTGAGTTCGAGGTTTTATACCATTTGGCTACTGTATAAAACCTCGAAATCAATGCTGTTCCTGACATTTTGAATTGAAAAAGCTTCCTGGATGGGAAGCGAAACATCTTCAAACTTGGAAATAAAGTCAAATGGAATGTTTTTAATTTCTTTTTTTGGGGGAATTTAATAAAGCCATTGTCTATAGTTGCCATTGGGGGAAAAACAGCTGCCAGTCATGGTGAGCTTTAAGGACTAACTTAAGATTCCAGCTTAAAGTGATACAGCATCCTTAGTGAGTAGCTAGTACGTGTAGCATCATATATATTACTGTGCTTTGCAACCGCAAGGAGCCTAACTTTCATATCACAGTAGTGATCATTTTTAGCTGATGTTCTGAACACCTGATTGCATGAACCTGGAGGTTGGTGATTTTATTGTGAAGGTTCATTGCAAAAGCACCCAAATTAGACTTGAGCTCCATTTATCAACAGGCTAACTGGGCCGTATCGATTAGACAAAAATGGAGAAATGTAAGCAGAAGTCATTTATCTCAGTCATGTTTTTGTGGTCTGCTTAAAGGGATTTGAAATATATTAGTCTGCAAGGGCTCAGATTCTGGCCAAAAATGTTTTTGGGGGGTTTGCTTTGTTTTTGGTCTTAATGTGTAGGAAAGGGATAACCACGACCAACTTGTCTAAGGACTATATTAATGACTTTATTTCAGCAATTTTTTGAGAGATGTCATACACTAAATGTTATTTTTTAGGTTAACCACCAAGCCTAGGCTCCTTTTCTTAATGATGATGGATAAAACTTGTTTTTCTCCACCCTTTTAGTAATTTAACCACAAGAAATCTGATCAATCCTCATGGATATATAAAAAAATCTGACTTTTATTGAATAGAAAGTAGTAATGAAATAGAAGTAAGCAAGTCTTCTGGAATTTTAGTCCCAGCCCTGAGTACCGATGAGTTGGTTTGATCCATATCATCCCTCGTGCTTCAGTCTGATTTGGCAATAAGCAACACTCGACATGACTTTAGCAGAAGGACAGTGTACACCAATGCAGAGCAGAAGGTAAATCTCACAGAATCTTATATGCTTACTAAATGTTTTAGTCAACTGCACCTTTCTTACTTGTTTTAAAACATATAAGATAGATAAGAACACAGGCTGCAAGGAGTCTGCAACCTGCTCTGGACTGTCAGACCTATGGGAATGAAACTATCACTACTCAATCCAAAGACTTGTTTCTCAACTAAATGCACCTATAAACTCTTTTAAGCCTTAATGTAATTTGTTTCACTTTACCATGGTTTTCAATTACCAAGTAAATCATGATATAAGGCTTTTTTTTTTTAACACATAAGGAAAAATTACCTCTGCTACAAAAATATATTGATAACATAGAAGTATCATAGCAATAAAAATAACATTTACTCTTTATTTTGATATGTAGAACAAATTTTATTTAAAACCTGCTAAAGTGAAGGGATTATTATTCAGAATATTAAGTTCTTTGCAGTGTAGAACAAGAAAAACAGGTGTCTGCTCAGGTCTGCTGTCAGCTCCTGTTTGTATTTATTGCCGTCGTATAACAATGTTGCTGTATTAAAAATAACGGTTGGCACCAATTTTGTGCTTATGAAATGAGTCTGCAGGTCATTTAGGACAGAAGATAATTTATAACCAGCTGAATTAGTCTTTCTTGAAAGTGAGGAAATGTATAGCAGTTCTTATCCCCCTGACAGAGAGCCAGTAAGATGTTGTCTGTAGAGGTTTTAAATGGTTATTGTTCTTTTAATGTAAAATGCAGCTGCTGTAGAAGAACTATTAAAAGTAGAAGATGCGGTAGCAGGTTATAGAAATAAAGAAACAGGATCTGAACAGTGGATGTGTAAATCTGATGTGCATTTTTTATTTAAAACAAACTCCCTCCTGTCTTTATAATATATCCCACATATCCCCATGTTCTGCTGGGCTCTTTTTGCACTGCAAGGCAGAGCTGCTGCAGTTTCCTGATTCGAAATTCTTCGCAGCAGCCATGCACACCTAATAAGATGAAATATGTCGGCCTGGTTCCCTTTTTTCCTCCCTCCTCTCTCGTTCACCTGTACACACATACTGATGATGCTGAAATGAACCAGATCCATGCTTCATATTCTGGTCATTCACAAACCTTCCAGCTCCATTAAAAAAACACAAGCTCACAGCCTTGCATAAACAGACAAAGGCTTACTGAACAGTACTTTTCAGTGCTTGTATACAAATAGATGGAGTTGTAACCAGTTCAAAATGATCTGCAATCATGCGTGTCCATTTAATGAAGTGCTGCATTAATTAGTGCTAGAGAGCTCACCTAAAAAAAAAACAACCTTGTGCACTTTCTTCCTTTTTTTATTCCACCCCTCCATGGATCAATTAAAAGGTTTTGCAGCACATTCACACCGAAGTAGAATACAGAGGTTCTCCACGATATCAGAATAAGAAGTGCTTTCATGCTTTTGGTTGAGCCTCTTCTCGTCAGGGCAGCAGAATAATCTCTCTGTTGCTTTGTAATTTAGGACTGGCCACGCCCTCATGGCCTTTATGCTGTCCCGCCAAGAGGGGAAACTGAATCGTCAGCAGACAATGGAGCTGGGACATCACATCCTGAAAGCACACATCTTCAAGGTGAAACCACTGAGTCATCTCTGCAACATTGAAATCTTATTTTATACAGGGACTTGCAACTGTAGTCATAACACTTTGACATTTTCCTGTCTGGTCACTTTGTTACCACATTATATGACATGTGACAGATCAGCAAAAACAGCTTGTGTTTGTTAAGTGGAAAGAAATCCATGATATTCACAGTTGTTTAAAAGAACGAATCCAATAAGTGGACTTGAAATTTCAGTTCCACCCCACTTAATTGTCCCTGTAATACTGTTTCTGGGACATTTTAACACATGGATTTGCTTTGATCTGAACCAAACTATTGTAGCTCTGCATGTTAAGCCACCACCCTGCTGAAGGTCTCATTCAAGGATTACCTTATAAAGCTCTAGCCATCTTCAAAGTAAATTGCACTACATACAAGTGCTTTTCAATCTTTAATAGAAATACTTTGTATTTCTCTGCTACATAAATCCCCGGTATGATAAAGTAAGGTTTGTGGTGGAAATATGCAAAAATTTGACCTAGAGTATGAAAACATCTGTAATTCCCTGTATGTGTGTTTGTTTATATTTCTGTGTGATGTATTGGTTTGCCTGCAGGGTCTGAGTAAGAAAACAGGCGTGCCATCCAGCGTGCTTCAAGCCCTGTGGATCAGCTGCAGTGCTGATGGTCTTTCAGCAGCCTTGGCTTCCCTGAGGAACCTCTACACACCAAATGTCAAGGTAAAGAGGCTCATCATCTCCTATGTATGTACAGTAATTTAAACATGCTAGAACTATTGAAGCCTCTGTATTTTTTTATTTTTACTTTGCCAAGCAAAAAAAAGATGTTTCATAGGATTGTTATTGCTTCTTGTTCATGATATCGCATCAAGAATCTGAGTCTCACTAGCAGCGTTCCTGGCACACACTGTGATATTTTAATTATACACTAAAAATTGGCCTAAGATTCTCTTTTTCATACTGGGAATGTTCAAATTTGAAATCATCAGAAGGACAGCGAGGAGCTGAAAACTGAGGGTACGTGGTTTATGTGGGGAAAATAGAAAATGTGGGGGAAAGGTAAGTTTATGAAAAATACAGAGTAGGGGGGTCAGGCAAAGGTAAATCTTTTCACTCTGAATATAATTACATATATTTATACAGTTTTTTTTTCCTCTCTCACCACTGTTAATAATTAGCCAACCTGTGCAGAGCATAATCATCCTTTCCCATCGCTAATTAGACTAATGCTGGTAGCAGAGCTCGTTAAACTGCTATCGTGACAACTGGCCGTGTATTACCCTCTACATGAGTTGTTTTCAGGGGAAATAATGATCGGCCTTCGCTGGAAAGGCTATTACATGCAAATTATAATGTTGTCTATTGTACAATTGAATGATCCCGAATTTTTTATTTTTTTTTCGTTTGCTTTTTACTTCGCTATTAAGGTTGTGCTGTCAGTGAGGCTCTATCACTTGTCTGGTGTGAGTCAGTGGGTGCACTTGCAGATGCATTCACAGAGACACAGGGGAGCGACCTTGTTCTGTCCTTAGGTGAAGAACAGTTGGTGTTAATTGATTCGATGGCGGATTTTATCTCATTTTATGAGTCTTTAAGTTGTGCAATCTTGCTTGACGAGATTATTTTATCATTTATTTTAGTCCTTATGGTTGAGAATAACACACTTTATACAGTAATTACATTAAGTGGGAAACAACTACTTTAACTTGTGTCTGACCTAAGTCCATCCTTCAAAAAACCCCATGAATCACTGAATGATTCATGGTTTTCAAGGAATACTCGGGGCACAATGGTTAAAATTTTCATCTTGAAATTTAATCAGACTCTCTTATTTAATCATCTCTATGATTAAACTTGATTTAAATTGCTCAGAAAAGGGGTCGAAAATTTGACGTCTTTTCTCAGAGATTTAATACATAACATTTTTCTAACTGAAGCTTACATTTTTTCTGTCATTAAGATCTTTATTTAGATTTAAATTAGGAATATTGTTAATAGAAAATAAAAATAAAGCTGGGTCTTTGGTACAAAGTAATTGACTGAGATCAGAATTTGTTATTGCATATACATTTTACAATAATAGAGCGAAAGAGAGGATCCTTTATAATATGGGTGCGCAGAAAGCTAAAGGGTTAATCTGTAATCCATATGAAGCTGATTTATACTGGATCTCACCATTCTGTTTGTCTAATTTATACATTTTCACCCCTTTTTTTAGGTCAGTCGCCTCCTGATGCTCGGAGGGGCAAACGTGAACTACCGGACTGAAGTCCTGAACAATGCGCCAGTGCTTTGCGTCCAGTGCCACCTCGGTCACCATGAGATTGCATCGCTCCTGCTGGAGTTTGGTGCCAGCGTTGATGTGGTGTCAGAAAATGGGATGAGCCCGCTGTGCTTCTCAGCCGCTGGTGGACACCTAGGTCTAGTCGTACTACTTTGTAAGAGGGGGGCCAAGGTGAGGACCTTGTCTTTCATAACTTAGAATGTAATTTCTGCCTGCTGTTATACATGAAGTGACTCTAAAAAAGTATTTATACCACCAGAATCTTTAGTAAACTGCTACAAACTCTACTTTCTGTTTTAGATTCATGTGATAGACCAACAGGTAGAGCATAATCATGAGGTGAAACACTAATATATAGCTTTCAAACAATTTACAAATGATTGAAAAAGCAATTTAGCCTCCTTGGGTTTCATATTTTCATTTTCCAGTAACATGTGTTAAAATAGAATAGCTTAGATGAAGCATATTTTTGTGATCCAGTGGCTTATTTAAAGTCAAGTTGACAATCTGTGGTTTAAACTGAAAAATTGCTCATCATCCAGCCTGACTGAGCTCCTTTATAAAAAAAGGAGTTAAACAATTTGGTCCCTGGATCTTAGAAAGGGAGAATCTCCTTGATAAATAAATCTGCACGACGCCAGACTTCATTGGAAGAAGAACGAAGAAAAGCTGGAAATACTCCCTTCCTGTTGACTGTGTTGCTTTCTGTTGGTTTTTAATAATATGCATATTAATGTGTGATTGTAACAAGACAAAATCTGAAAATACAAGAACTACCTAATGCATGAATACTTGTTCAAGACTATAATTGTTTTGGCATGACTTCAATCTCCAGCCATGACATTATGTAAAATGTCTGCTGCACCTGATTTACATAGTATGGGAAATATATCTTCTATTGCTATAAAATAATCCCCCAAATCTTTCATTTTTTCCAGGTGAATCATGTAGATAAGAGCGGCCAGTGTGCTCTGGTCCACGCCGCGTTACGTGGACACATCGAGATCATCCAGTACTTGTTGGAGCTTGAATGGAGTGTTGAAGGGCAGCAGCAGGACTGCTCTCTGAAGAACAAAGCTCTGCAGCAGGCTTTGATCGCAGCCTCGAGCATGGGACACACACAGGTCTGACTGACATGCATGCATCTTAATATAGAAATCCAACTGCACAATCAGGGTTTTAAAGAAGCAGAAAGTTTTGCATACTGTATCATCTTAAAGGTTTATTTGATATTTTATACAGCAATAGTACGCCATTAATCTAAGTTTCTTTTTTGACAGGTTGTGAGAGCCCTGCTGGCGCTGAAAAATGAGCATGCTGTGCAAATTGATAGTCATGACACTCTGTGGGGCGAGACTGGTATGTCCTCATCAATCTTTTTGCATTTTGTGGCTCTTTCATATGATGACCTGCTGTTTTCCCATAATCAACCTTGCTGCTGTAATTGAATGCTGGACTGGAAGGGCTTCTAGTTTTGCTCGTCTTTAACGCAGTGGTCATTACAGCCACATTTAGATACATAAAAAGTTATTTAACACTCAGTAAAGGGAGATTTACTTGCAAGCTGCAATACTGTCAGTGGTTAGCAATTAAAAATAAATCAACAATTTGAATAGCTCAACCGACCGATACTGTAATTTCTCCAACCTATTTAAGACAAAATTAAATCATGTTCCGATCAGTAGTTTAGGACTGGAGCACTTCTGCATTTATGATGATCCCCAGTGTAGAAACTCAAACCCGAGTAGCAGCAGCCAGAAAGTCGTGGTGAAGGTCTGGGGTCCATCTGGATTGTGCAAATCTGTTAGAGTCTTTTAAACCAAAGCAAAGGTGCAAAAGCGATAACCATGATAAGTCCTATCTGAATAGTGCTGGCATTAAGGAAAATAGTGGAAAAAATAAATGGGATGCTTCTTATGTATAGCTCATTTAGCATAGGGACCTCCCAATGTTCCTATCTGACACATAGCAGCTATACGGTTTCCTACAATTCTTTTCATGGCCTGACGTTTAGTTACAGCCCACCTGAGTTTTACAGAAATACATTATTTATTCTGTTTAACACATTAAAATGTAGAAACCTTTTTACTTTGGGGGTTTTGTAGTGAACAGCTTTAGCCAATTGTTACAATTTTAAAACTTTTGTTTGGGTTTTGACAAGCATCATCCATTTGAGGCGGGTGAATTTCAGGGCGAAGGTTTCTCATTCGGTGTGAACGTACCTTCAGACCACATCTGATTTGCAAATATGCACTCTGATGAGGAATCCTGTTCAGGGGGTTGAATCATTTTGAGACCACAGAAGTGATAGGAAGTAGGTTTAATAGGAAAATCTGGGTCATTTTATTTTTATTGAGATGGATTTTATTTATTTATTTGTAACAGGTTTAATAAGAAGTTCAGATGAATTTCCAGAATTGTTTTGCACCTTTTAATACAATATACCTAATCTGCATTTTCATACTTTTATGCATTATGCCCCAAATTTTCTTGTCTCCAGCATTTTTTTACATTTCACTTTTCAACAATCTGCTGAACAAACTAACAGTGCACATGATGTATAAATAATAAAACCTAACAATAACAAAAACATTTCTCTCGGTAACATGTTCTTTATTGTTATTTTTTCATCTTAATTGAATATAAGTGAATGAAACATTTCAGCACAGACGGTAACTGACACACGTAAGGTAGATTGTATTTAAATTAAATAAAAGGTACAGAAAGAAAAAAAGAAAAAAACAATTTGCTGATGAATGTAGGAAGAAGCAATCACGTTATAATTTTAAAATAACCAGCAGCTTTTATTTGTTGTTTGAAACAACAGGAACCAACAGTCAAACATCAGTTTTATTTTCAAGTGAACAGTTAAGAGCTAAAAATACTTCTCCCTTTTTTTCCCTCTGAAAGTCTGCCTTCAGGTAAAATGTTCAAAAACGTCTCTTACTTTTCAAACCAGTGATTGAGGTTATTTGTGGATGATCATAGTAAAAGACAGTCTGAAAAGACAGACAGGTAATAGAAGCTTCTTTGTTTTGTCTTGAGTTCTAAGCTTCCAGGATTTTGTTCTCACTGCTCTGCACTCTGCTTATCTAGGTCAGGGTACAAAATGGACCTAATTAGAATCACAGTATTTGCTCATTAGAACCATTATTTGGTTTTACTTCAGAGGTAAATGTAATTTTTTCTTTTGACCTCAGATGGTGCAGATTTAAAAAACCCTATAGTTGTTAGGGAGCCAGTGTTGTGGTCATTTAATGGCTGCCAGAGTTTACTGCATTATCTGTGCAAACAAAGGGTTGCATCTATTAGAGTCTGAAGTTTGAAGAGGAAAGCAATTTCTTAATCATACAAACTAATAACATATCACTCAAGTATATATATATATATATATATATATATATATATATATATATATATATATATATATATATATATATATATATATATATATATAATCTGTCCAAAGAGTGTAGAGCTGTTCAAAGGATTGAACTGATATACGGATCAGACTTCCTTCTAAAAACTGTACTTTTTTACTGCTGCTGTTGACCCGAGACACTAAGGAATGTTTGACTGGATGTCAATCCCAAAGCTGTATAATTAATTAGTATATTATAAACATTGTTAAGAGGATTGTGATTTGATTGATGTTGCAGCTGAGTCTCAGTAATTGTTAGAGCACCTGTAGTATCTGCGGTTAACTTTTAGGGACAAATGCTTGTGACTCGATGCACGACCTTTTATATGTGATATGATATCGAACCAAAACAATTTAATTTACCAAAGAAGTCCTCATAAACCGGCTTTGATTAAACCAGAGCCTCCAAGACCCGTACAATTTATATAATTCAGGCAAATTGGGAAACAAACCAGTCGTCTGTTTATCCATGTCAGTGTGTCTACCTGCCCTTACATCTGCTGACCCTGACGGAACACTTTGGTTGTTGTTTGTGTTTATAAGACTTTAATTTTCATATCTAATTCTCATAAATGAATACTCTAACTAGACACTAACCAATTCTCTGAACATTAATTTTAAAATGTTTTTTAATACAATAGTTTTAAAGAAAACACATGACGCTGTAGATGTTCACTTAGCACTATCACATGCACTAGTCTCCATTAGTCTGTCAGGAGCCTAGCAGGACATCAGATTCAGTAATGGGACGTCAGTGTGTAAGAAAACATATAACACAAGTCCAGAAATATAAATTTCTTTCCACTGCAGCAGAATCACTCTGCTGTAACATTAACATGAAACATGATCCAATTTGAACAAGATTCAACTGCCTTGAAACCGAGTAGCTCAGACTGGCTACATAGTTTTATGATCTACCAGATGATGAGCATTATGTCTTTTTGGTGTCATTATAATGCTGAATAGATAATAGTAGTCAAGCACTCCAATTGGTCAATCGCCGCTTAGTTTTCCAACCCATTGTTTGATCCCGCACAAACTTTAATTTGAAGCAGCAATCATGGGATATATATTTTCCTTTCATCTGTAGTACAGGAAGAAAAGCAGCAGTGTACCTCTCAGCTTTATGAACAATGATCCATTGGGTTGTTCCTCTTAAAATCATGCAGCTGCTTTATAGAGTGAAAGTAGAGGACAGCAACAGGCTAAGATGACCATATATGCTCATTTACAGGTGCTGGTCATAAAATTAGAATATCATGAAAAAGTAGATTGATTTCAGTAATTCCATTTAAAAAGTGAAACTTGTATATTATATTCATACATTACATACAAACTCATATATTTCAGATGTTTATTTTGTTTAATTTTGATGATTACAAATGACAACAAATGAAAATCTCAAATTCATCATATCAGAAAATTAGAATATTGTGAAAAGGTTCAAAATTGATGGCCCCTGGTGCCACACTCTAATCAGCTAATTAACTCAAACCACCTGCAAAAGCCTTTAAATGGTCTTTCAGTCTAGTTCTATAGGCTACACAATCATGGGGAAGACTGCTGACTTGACAGTTGTCCAAAAGACGACCATCAACACCTTGCACAAGGAGGGCAAGACACAAAAGGTCATCGCTAAAGAGGCTGGCTGTTCACAGAGCTCAGTGTCCAAGCACATTAATAGAGAGGCGAAGGGAAGGAAAAGATGTGGTCGAAAAAAGTGTACAAGCAAGAGAGATAACCGCACCCTGGAGAGGATTGTGAAACAAAACCCATTCAAAAATGTGGGGGAGATTCACAAAGAGTGGACTGCAGCTGGAGTGAGTGCTTCAAGAACCACCACACACAGACGTATGAAAGACATGGGTTTCTGCTGTCGCATTCCTTGTGTCAAGCCACTCTTGAACCACAGACAGCGTCAGAAGCGTCTTGCCTGGGCTAAAGAGAAACAGGACTGGACTGCTGGTGAGTGGTCCAAAGTCATGTTCTCTGATGAAAGTAAATTTTGCATTTCCTTTGGAAATCAAGGTCCCAGAGTCTGGAGGAAAAGAAGAGAGGCACTTCATCCACGTTGCTTGAAGTCCAGTGTAAAGTTTCCACAGTCAGTGATGGTTTGGGGTGCCATGTCATCTGCTGGTGTTGGTCCATTGTGTTTTCTGAGGTCCAGGGTCAACGCAGCCACATACCAGGAAGTTTTAGAGCACTTCATGCTTCCTGCAGCTGACCAACTTTTTGGAGATGCAGATTTCATTTTCCAACAGGACTTGGCACCTGCACACAGTGCCAAAGCTACCAGTACCTGGTTGAAGGACCATGGTATCCCTGTTCTTAATTGGCCAGCAAACTCTCCTGACCTTAACCCCATAGAAAATCTATGGGGTATTGTGAAGAAGAAGATGCAATACACCAGACCCAACAATTCAGAAGAGCTAAAAGCCACTATTAGAGCAACCTGGGCTATCATAACACCTGAGCAGTGCCACAGACTGATCGACTCCATGCCACGCCGCATTGCTGCAGTAATACAGGCCAAAGGAGGCCCAACTAAATACTGAGTGCTGTACATGCTCATACTTTTCATGTTCATACTTTTCAGTTGGCCAACATTTCTATAATTCCTTTGTTTTTATTGGTCTTCAGTAATATTCTAATTTTCTGATATGATGAATTTGAGATTTTCATTTGTTGTCATTTGTAATCATCAAAATTAAACAAAATAAACATCTGAAATATATGAGTTTGTATGTAATGTATGAATATAATATACAAGTTTCACTTTTTAAATGGAATTACTGAAATCAATCTACTTTTTCATGATATTCTAATTTTATGACCAGCACCTGTATGTTCGCCCTCACCTGTCAGACAGCTCACCTGTATTTTCATTTTCACCTAAAGTCCTCCTGCAGGTGTATTAGTCCAATCCTGTTGCTTTGATGTTTGGAAACTCAAAGCCGGTGTCTTTTCTAAAATATCCTGATCAAAACTAGTTCAGTTCAGTCTCTAAAAATGCCCCCTGATAGCAAACTTTGAGGCTTTCTGTCCGTATTCATGCAAATGAACCTCTGTGTTTGTGTTTAAATAGAGGCACATCTGATTGTTCATCTGTGTAAGCTCTATCTTTTAAAATCCCTTTTTAAGGATGCAAAGCCTTTCCTCCTCATGCTAAGAAGAGGTCTAATGCAGGCAATCATTATGTGCATCAACAACCCAGGTTTACAGCAATGATCAACAAACTATTGTGTTCTTTTAAAAGTATTTCTCACCATAAGATCTGTCTATCTACCTTATTAGGGTCTCTGCTTGTGAGAAATTTTCCTCCTTGTGGAGTATGTTTAAATTCATGATTTTCTGATGAATATTCCTCCATTAAATAACTGTCTCTCACAGAGTAAATACTGTTTAAAGTCAGAGGTTTTAACTCAAACTAAGTTCTGCCTAATAAAATACAGTAAAATAAATCAGGAATAGCTCCACACTTATTAGCCCACAAATATATTCTTCTTTAAGCTGTATTGTAGATGTTGCTATGCCTGTTTTATTTGTGACTAAGCAAAATAAATCTTCGTTTTTAAACCTTCCAGGCTTTTAGGGGTGAAAACATGTTCACATATAGACTATTATACTTCAGATGTAAGATTTTAATCATAGCTTCACATTCATCTTCCACAGACTTGAAGGACGAACTGAAGAAGCCCTCTAATATATTTATCTGCTATAATTCCTCTCCTACAATTTAAGGATAAATATTATTCAAATCAATAGTAGTCAAGCTCTTTCTTTACTTTGAAATCTACTGAAAACTCTGGTGCTAAAGTTGACTGTTTAAGAGAGATACACATGCATTTCACAAGATTTAAAACTGTTCCTGGTCTATAGCCTCTGAAAAACGTTTCACTAATAAAAAGGTTTGCAAGAACTTGAATAAAAAGGTTAATTAGCTGCATGACTTTAGCTTTCAGACAGCTGCTTTGTTTGTGGGTGAACGCATACCAATGCAGTGAATTCTGTGGTTAATAAGTTTAATAAGAAACCACATGAATATGTTGAATTTTTTTTCTTTCAGGTAACTTTTCTGCTGGTTAAACCCCGTATGTGTGCAATGGCAGCTTGTTATTTACCGCAAGCTGCACGATCAGATGGGGCGTGCTTTCATTCTCTGTACATCGGTGTTTCTGTTGCTCTGCTTATGGTCCTTGAGCCTTTTCTAATCAACTTTGCTTTTTTATTATTCAATTCTAAAAAAGCATAACTGAGGGAAAAACTCAACTCTTGGTTTGTCACTAACATTTTTCAGTATTGATGAAAACTCTTTTTTTATTTATTTTTATTATTTATCAACAAACCTTTTCTAAAATGTCATGTCATGAACTCTGTTGTTGGGAAAGAGGATACGAGACCGTAACTGGAACCATGAACGCCTCCTCTAAGGAATCTATTTTTTTTCCCCTGTAAAGTTCAGGTATTATGTAATGGAATTTTGTTGAGATGACATAAATGTTATCATTATTGGTCTGAGTATTTGAAAACAGCTGAAAACAGCCATCAGTCAACAGCTGCTCTTGTGTCAGTTCTTTGTAAACTAGCGTGCACCTTTCAGACTGTTGCTGATGTCGCTCCCAGGAGCCTGAGCTAAGTTTAGCTGTTATGGAGTCATTGTTCCCATGTGTGAACTGTGTGAGGATATCCACGTTTTTAACAGATGGCGGGTGGGGTTGTTTTTGGCTGGGAGGACCGTTCATCCAGATGGATGATGTCGGTTAGATATGGAGGATCTGTGGCACCTTTCGTCTCCGAGGTGAATGTGAGAACGGAGCTGCTCCCATTCCTCTGGTGGGGCTTGCTCTGTTTGGAGAACCAGCTTTCATTTAGGACCGCTCCATCTGTTCTCTGTAAGCATCCAACATTATAACTGTCTCCTCTTTGTAGTAATATACCTCTCGAGCTGTTGACTTTTCATCCGAGCGATTTAGTGGTTTGAAGAGGACCAAAAATGCAAACAGGAATGTGTGTCGAACAGAGCTGGTTGACTGTCTGCTTGTGTTTGTGTGCTGATGCATGAAATGACTGAGTCCTCGTCTCTGTCTATAAAGTCTGGGGAACACGAGGCAGGAATTTAATGAGTTTTAATAAGCACAAACCTTATCTGATTTAAACTCAATTAGCAGTGAACATTAGCTGCATATCTTTAGTTTGTGAGGGATGGAGTTCCTTTTTATAGCTAAACTTTCCCCTTTCTGTCCACTCCCTTCACTAAAGTTGTAGGTTTTAGCAATATATATCACTATGCAAGCTATTCATACAGTTTGTATTTCACTTCGGTCTCTCAACAAACCCAATTATTAATGTGTCATTCATATTTAATGTGTTACAACAGCACATACAGTGCTTGCTTACCTTGGTAGAGGGGAAGGAAAATGTTTGATGCATGTTTTTTTTTATTTTAATTAATGCTTAATAATGAAGTTTTGTATTCGATTGTTGAATTCAAACCTTTTAAAAACAATCAAGCCTTTTGGGATTTGTCTCTATCCTCTTTTCACATCTAAAAAGTCATGTTTTATTCTTTTTCTTTCATTGCATTCTGCTTTAACTCTGCTTTTATGTAAAATGAAGGTACATTTTTAAATTGTAGTTCTGGCTGGATTCTTTATTGCCTTTCTAAAGGGACTAACAGTTGTTTTTCTTTTCCATTCCTGTCCTGTTTTTGTCTCCATCTGCTTATGTATCAACTCAACCCAGTAACTCAACCAATTTATTTGTTTTTTTACTAAGAAGATTAAAAACAACAAAAAGATTTTTAAATTTTTTAGTTTAAGAATTCATTCTCTGTCTAACTTAACACTATTATCGTAATTGATTAAAAAAAAAAAAATCATCAAGTGCAAACATCGTGCTGCATGGGTGGATAGTTTTTTCTGCTTGCAGTAACGTTTCCATCAGGTTTAAAATTGTATCTTGCTGTAGAAATCCCCCTTCTTGTTAGAGACAGCATGATGCTGCCACTACCTTATTTCATTATGAGGATGTTGGGTTCATAGGAAATTGTTTTCATTTTTTTAGGCTAAGAATGCCAGTTATCAGGCTTAACTATAGAGCTCATTCTTAACATTTTTGCTGTTTCCACTTCCTTTCTTGTGGCAAACTGGGATTTTAATGGATTTTTATTTCCGTGCTACCATAAAGGATAGATTTGTAGAATTCTAAACCTATATATATATTATTTTTTTTTCCATCTGAGACCTGTAAGTCTACAGCATCTCCAAATGTTTTATTGGCTGCTTTTCTATAGAGAACTTTTCTCTCATTTTTCTTTCATTTTAGGTTTATATCCATATCTAGCCTGTTTTATAGTTTAATTTCCATTTTCAGATGGTGGATTGAAGTTTTTTTTTTGTTTTCAAAAGCTGGTGGATAACTTTAATTTATCTTTCCAAAACCTTCTCACTGACCGTTCGGCTATGGTCATTGGTCTTTGAGATGCCTTGTCTTAATTTTCACCAGCTGATGACTTCTCAGAGAATTTGGATTTGATACTATTGCACCAATATACAGTAGATCTAGTTAATAGCAGCGGGACTGAAAAGAATTTGGTTGCACAGGTTTTGTTTAGGCGACCAAAGTAAGGGAACTCTATACCTCTTCGTACTACACTTTGTGTTTTCATTTGTTAAATAAAATTGCACAGTCATGTTCTGCTTCGTTTTGTCTAACACATTAAATTGTAATAAAATAATATTTAGTTTATTGTAGAAACATAAAACATTTGGACATTTTTAGATGGTGATATTTCTACTTCCTCATGGTGCTGAATCAAATCATCTTTACACTGTTTTCTCATCCTTGTTTTTCTAAATTCTGACAAATCTGTTTGTCTTCTTCTCTTTGTAATTCAGCGCTGACAGCTGCTGCAGGCCGGGGGAAGATGGAGGTGAGCAGCTTCCTGCTGGAGCTGGGGGCGGTGGTGCAGCAGGTGAATCGACGGGGGGTGTCTCCCTTGTTCTGTGCCGTCAGGCAGGGACACTGGCAGGTAAGATCTGCTGAGCAGCTTGTTTATTCCTGACAAACTCTCCGTTTCCATCTGCAGTAACCGGTCTCAGTTACTGCCTCCACTCTGATGCATCACAGCAGCTGTGTTCTGGTCTAATAGATTTTGGAAGGACTACTGTCCATATGCTAAATTAAAACCCTGTCTGATAGCTGCTATAACTCTAACTTTGTTGTTGTTTTTTAGATTGCAGAGCTGCTGCTGCAACATGGTGCTGACATCAACATCAGTGACAAGCAGGGCAGAACGCTGCTCATGGTGGCTGCCTGCGAGGGTCACCTGAGTACGGTAGAGTTTCTGCTGTCTAAAGGTGAATTCAATAACTTTACACCCTCAAGACGCTCATCTGTTATCCGAGTTGAGTAAATAACCTGTTTGGGAATGTTTTACCTTAAAGGTGCTTCTTTAACTTCGATGGACAAAGAGGGACTGATGCCTCTGAGTTGGGCATGTTTGAAAGGACATAAGAATGTGGTGCAGTTTTTGGTGGAGAAAGGTGCGATAATCGACCACACGGACAAAAACGGTCGAACGCCGCTGGACCTCGCTGCCTTCTATGGAGATGCTGAGATCGTAAGTGAAACAGCCAGTTCCACAGATACAATAAACTTTCAGCCCCTGTTATCAGGGTCCCCATATGATCTCAGGAAGTCTAAGGAAAAAAAAAAAAGAATCAAGATTTTTTTTTCTAGGTCTGGAAAGGTGTGGAAATTTCTGTTTTTCCAGACTTTGTTTCTGGCAGCAAAGATAACATGGCAAAAAAAAAACTTGATTTCTGAACATGGTGAACCTCCATCAGTGTATATAAATATAAATTGTGATCAGTAAAAATTTTTGATGGAGTTAATGTACTTAATTGATAACAATTATTAGCATCTTTATCACAAGCAGTATATGGATCAAATAAACAACCTTATAAATTCAAAACCCCTTTTGCTCCTAAAATCGACTGAACATATGAGCACAGCAACACAAAAACACAGTTTTTAATCCAGTATTTAGATTATTCCATCATCCAAATGATGAACCTCTGATATTTTAAGTAATTTTTCTCACAAAATACTTCTGCAGAAGTGTGAACTAAACAGTGCGTGATCATTATTTATAGCAGAATTCCTTGCATTGAATATGGTTAAATTACACATAGCAATAATGACTAGATTATTGCCATTTGTTCCATTTCCTATATTGATAACAAAACTTTCACAGTGGATCTATGCGCATATATATATAAGGGATAAGGGTCTTTGCCCAGAGACCCAGAGTGGCAGTCGAACTCAGAACCTCAGGATTCTAAGCTCTATACCCTAACCACTAGGCCACCACTCCCCAAATAAAAATTACTTTACTGTCCATATTAAAAAAGTGGAATCACATTATTTATTCAAAATGAACGCATACCAATCACGGCCATAATACGCATATACACAAACATTATTTATATATATATAAATAAAGAAATAATTTGGTGTGTTTCCTTCCTCCTGTAGGTCCAGTACTTGGTGGAAAGAGGAGCAGTGATTGAGCATGTGGACCACAGTGGGATGAGACCTCTGGACCGGGCCATTGGGTGCAGGAACACTTCGGTGGTGGTGACTCTGTTAAAGAAAGGGGCCAAGCTCGGTAGGAGCTCTTCTATATATTATTTTTAACTCGCATGAACTGTACATGTAGTTTTTTTTGGCTTGCTGAGTTGTCTGATAAACACAGAAAAATCATCTTGTCTCCAGTCTGTTTGTGTTGCTCAGTATCTCATGATTCTAAGAATAATCCCAGATAAATTTTCTGGAATGTGTTTGGGGGGGGGGGTCTCTGTCTCTCTAAATCATTGGTTTGTGTGTGTTGGGTCCCTTTCTTGGTTATGTGGAGCTTCACTAACTTTAACAATGACTTGTCACCCGATTCAACCGAAACTATGGATCTGGAGTCCATAGTTTATCTCCGGTGCTCTCTGCCATCTCAGAACAAGACTGATAATTGGGTGAACATCTAGGTTTTCTCTTCCTGCATTTGCAGCTGCAAACACAAAACCCATTTCAGGCTGAGTGACACATAATTGCATATTGTACCGCTGCACTTACTAACACATTTTCCCCTCGCTGCAAATGACGACTGTTGCTTGTCTTACCTCTCCCAACTCTTTCCTAACTGCCTTCAATAAACTAAGGCTACAGAACATCTCCTTACGATCGATCAGGTACAATCTTTAGGTAACTCTACCTTGTACCAATTTCAAGAGAATACTGTGATGCTCGGTGTGCCACAATAAAAGCTTCACAGGATGCTTTGTGTTTCTGCAGGGAATGCTGCCTGGGCCATGGCTACTTCCAAGCCTGATATCCTCATCATTCTCCTGCAGAAGTTGATGGAGGAGGGAAATCTGCTATACAAGGTAAAACTGCCTATTAAGTGTTGTTACACTGATATCTTTGTATCTCTACTGAAAAAGTGAGGCTTCATCGGTAAGCCTGGCTGATAATGTCAAGATTGTCTGTGGAGAGAAAAAAAAATCCATTTAATCATGATTATCTCTCGGTTTAGTTAAATATAGAAACTGAGTACTTAAGGAGTCATGATCGATGTTTGACATTTAACAGAGTGAGGTTTGAATCAAAAGCTGCTCATCCGGTGTAACCTTTTTTTTCCTTTGTATGAGAGCCTACCTTTTATTAAATCTATGAATGATTAGAGTGAAGAGGGTTAGAAATGCTTTCTAAGTTCTTCACTCTGTCCTTTATTTTTCACTCTTTTCTTCTGGTTCCATCTTTTTTTGTATTTTGCTGCACGCCTGACCTCATTGTGTCCTCAAGAAAGGGAAGATGAAAGAGGCGGCCCAGAGGTACCAGTACGCCCTCAGGAAGTTTCCTCGGGAAGGCTTTGGCGATGACCTGAAGGCTTTTAAAGACCTACGGGTCTCTCTGTATCTCAATCTCTCCCGGTGTCGCAGAAAAACCAACGTAAGTCTCTTTTTGCTCTCAGAGGTCCTTCATTGAATTAAAAGGCTTTGAGCTTGCCAGATTTCGGCTAATGCAGTTACAGGAATACTGTTTTGGTTGATGGAATTCTGTTTAACAGAAGTGTAGAAAGAACATATTTTCTAGATTACTTCACTGACCTTTCAATGATTGTTTTATTTCTAATAATTACTTCTGCAGAAAGAATTTGTTTCTATAGAACAACAGGAAGGACATTTGTATTCCTACAGCTGCTTATGTAATCAGCCTGAGGCCAACAGCTCACATAAAGCTGTCTCCTGTGCATTTCTGTACACTTAAACAGGTGTTTGTGCTGGAGACGAGTTGTGTGGTTTTTCTCTTCGTTCCAATCTGTGTCATGTTCCAGCCGAGTACTATAGCTGTAAGACATTTTACAAATAGTACTGAGGATCTGTCAGTTTAAGGGAGCTGCAGTCCATTGAATTATTGTGCTTCAATATTTAACATCATTTACTTTTTTTTTCAAAGCACTTTGCTTAAATCCGAAGCAAAATTGAGCATGTTTCCTTTCAGTTTTCAAGATACATTTTGGATTAAACAGTTTCAGGGTATTTCTAAGGCTTGTACCAATCAGAATATTACAAAAAAATCTACAACTCATAAAGCTGTGACCTAAAACCTGTGGATAGATTTTAGCCTTCCTGCTGCTTGTGGTTACTGTATGTTAATGAGTTATCATGAGAGTAATTGTTGAAATACAAAAAAGAGAAGTTAGACATTTTTGAACTATTTTAAGCATTTTATTAGTGGTTCATTAGTGGTTAGTGCATTAGGCTCAGATTTCCAATATTTTCATCCGTTTTCGTATGGCGAATGTTAAAAGCGCAAAAGGACAAAACAAAGCAACTTTTTGTACTCTGTTTAGCTTTCCCCCTGGACGGCATACACTTGTTCTCCTTCTCACTATATGAATAAATTGCAGATGTAAGGATATGTCATAGATATGCACTTTGAGCTGATGGCATGTTTGAGTCTGTATACTTCAATTAACTACTATTCGATTCATAATTAGTTGAAAATTATTTCAGCAATGCACTCATCAATGAATTGTTTCTTTCACTATCAGAATAGGTTTGAGTTTCTGACTTAAACCAAAGTTGATCAGGCTGCAAGACAACTAGGGATACCTGAACAGAGTGTGCAGGCCAGACTTGAATGTCAGATGAATAAAGAGATGCAGCAGCTTATTGAAGCTCCTTTCAGCTTTTATAGTTATTGTGAAAGATGTTGAACACCTGGATCCCCGTGGAACACCCCATAAATCAGCCCAAGAATTTGTCTACTGCAGCTTTTAATACCGTTTTGAGAGTATAGCAAAACAGTTTACTGAGTTTCATCAGGTACTCGTACACAAGGCTTTAACAGGAACCCTGACATCTTTAGAGAAAGTCATTGTTTCATAAAGTCCCTTTGGATCTTATAATAAGCAAAGCTAAGGGTGTAATTGTATAGTATTAAACATTTTTATGGTATAATCTTCTTGTTTTGGTAGGATTTTGGGATGGCTGAGGAATTTGCAACAAAAGCTCTGGAGCTGAAACCCAAATCCTACGAGGCATACTATGCCCGAGCCAGAGCTAAAAGAAGCAGCAGGTAAAGTATTCAAAATTCGACCAGCTGGAACTGATCGTTCTTGTTCCGTATCCGCTAACATCGCCCCTTCTGTTCGCAGACAGTTCACTGCAGCCCTGGCTGACCTGCATGAAGCAGCCAAGCTGTGTCCCAATAACAGAGAGATCCGTCGCCTCTTGGCTCGAGTTGAAGAGGAGTGTAAACAGATGCAGAGAGTTCAGACTAAAGGAAGCGTAGCTGGAGCTGCTGCTGCTTGCAGCCAGGCGTCAGGAGGCCATGATTCTGATCCAGAGCAGGATGAAAGCCATGTCAACCCCTCAGAGCACAGGCTGGCAAGGACCTTGGAAGCCCAGAGAGACATTCTAGAGGAGGAAGAAGAAGAGGAGGAGGATGACGACGATGAAGAACCAGTGGCCTTGAAGCGTGACAGGACAGGTGAAGCCTGCTGGTCCCAGAACAGTTTTTCTGTCAACAGAGAATCCAACGCTGTTAACAACTTTGTAACTCCCATCTCACCTCCAGGCTCCAACAGACCTCCTCTCTACCGATACCCTCGAGAGCAGCGGGAGGCACTAGCCCAGCAAGCCTTGGTCCTGCAGCCCACCAAGCAGGCCCAGATAGTAAAGACCAATCAGCACATGAGTTCCATGCAAGCTGCAGGGGGCCGCTCTGTCGGGGCCAAATCTCAGTACGCGCCCTCCAGCCCTTTGCCAAGCCGACACATGTCCAGCAAGCTGAAGCCAGGCCCAGGCATTGACATAAGCCCCCTGCCCACTCCAGCCGATGAGCCAGTATACGAGAACCGCATGTTGTTGGGGGCTGCTTCCTCTGCCATGGGTCAGAGTTGTGACAGTGAGAGCCTCTTTTCTTCCCAGGCCTCTTACTTATCTTGCAGCTCCTCAAAAGCTCTGGGGCCAGAAAGACTGTCTGCCCACTCTGCTTCGTCTCTGGAGGGGCTGGGGTGCTCTGGTCCGGGAAACCAGGGGAACCTGGACCCTGCTGCAGCTGGGCCTCAGGGAAGCATGCGTGTGTCCAGCTCCACCAGCAGCCTGGCATCCAGCAGCAGCTTGTCAGACAGCGGCAAACTTGGACCTGACGTCCGCAGCAAGATCTCAGACAAAAAGCACAGCCAACAGGGCGGCGCCACGTCGGAGTACAAACCCAGACCCTTCATGGGCATAACTGACAAAACGGCCCGATTTCAGCAGCAGCAGTGTCATCCTAGCCTTCAGTCTGTCGGTCGCAGCTGGTTTAACCACTCTGCTGATGGCTTATTGTGTCACAACACATCAGCTATAGGTCTGCCGCGAGGTGACAGCGAGCTGTCTTATGGCAAGACGGTGAGCACTTACCAGGAGCAGCACAAGGCTCCGCTGCCAAAGGGTGGCGCGGCGATGAGTGGAATACACAACGGCATGGTTGCCAAGGAATTTGCGGAGAAGTTCTGCCAAGCGGCCAACTGCTACAAGGAGTCCAAGCCAGCGCTGGCCATGCCGCACACTTTCATAGACAGTAAGCCCAAGCAGCTCGGACTGGGTCGAGATAATCCTGCCATTCACGTAGCTTCAATGAAACCAAAGCGATCTTTTATAGAGTCCAATGTGTAAAAATTTTTTCTCTCTTTACTGTTTAAGATGCACACAATTAAAAATCATTCATTAGAGGAACAGATTTTTTTTTTCACAGGATCTTTTAAGAAGTTCTGGTTATCTGGCTGCTTGTGAACAAAAACAGGCAGATCAGAGTTTTATCCCTCTCAGTCTGCAACTTCTGTTACACGACAGCACGCTCGCCGTTATTTAGCCAAGCTGGTATGGTTGCACTGAAGGAGATCTGCAGACCTGTCATACAATCCTGATCAAAGCAGCAATGACCGTGAACGCTTTACACACAGTTAGGCCAAACAAGTGCTTCGACAACACATGCAGTGAGAGAAATGTTAATACTGAACCATTTTAAATAAAGGTTTGAACTATGTCCATCACGTCTATGGTGCTGATTGACGGGTTTCGAGGAGTTCCTGGCAGATTCACTTTCCCCACACTTTGTACACTTTGTTTCATAAAGTACACTTTAACAATTTTCTAGACATCCTGTTTGTTTAAAGGGTCTTTTAAGTTTAGGTTTAATGTTTTAAATTGGTCATGATAAATTAGACATTACATTTGGTTCATCCTACCGGGTTTGACCCTTTCAGGCCTTCTTAGCCTTGGGTCCTGCAGTAGAAATAAGACTGATTACAGAATAGCCATGGAAAAAAAACGAAAAACATCTCAGTAAAATTGCCATTTCTCTTCGACTGTTTTGTTTTTACACAAACTGTGTGAAACGACTGTTTAGGTTAGCGGTTTGTCGTCGAAAACCATCATGATATAAGTTATTTAAGTAGCAAATTAAAGTAACCACGAGGAATGTCTTTATGTAGTTAATGGAAATTAAACCTCCACATTCCTGCCATATTTTATCTGCAGGATTTCAAATCCTAGACAGATGTCTTAGGTTTTATGTGCAGAGGAAGTAAATATTCTGTATAATTGATTTTAAATTATTTGAAAGAGTTTTATATTTCTTAGCATTTCTGTAGAGCTAAGAGGGGCTTTAGTTTCACTTCACCATGTAACTGCCGTAAAAGAATCAAAAGTTATGGTTAAATAAGTAAAATGTCCCTTTAGCCTTCATTTTTTGGGATATTTTTCAGTCTATTTCCAAAATGTTCTGAACCTGTTCAGTTGAGCCTAAAGAATAAAAATGAACCCTAGTACACTTTGTGATAAAAGTGATTCAGTCAGAGTTCTTCAAGAAGTGTCTGAAAGATCAACTAAGGGATGGGCATTCCTGTGACTTACGAAGGATGTTATAGATCCTCATGTGTATATTATATAAATATTTACTGTTTATTCTTTTCCGTGAAGGTCTATGTTAAGTGTATTGACAAGTTCAGACTTGTGTATTTTGACTTTTTTGGCACAATGTTGTTGAAATGGTGTTAAATATTTGTACATTGCTTAAGCCACCATTAACACTGAATCCTTTCTGTATCTGCTCGTCGTTGCTGTCTAGTTAATTTATTTACATTGCCAATGGCTTGGTTAATTGTACAAGCAATATATTTTATATAGTTATTTTTGCACAGCTACATTTTATGACTCAGCAATGAGAATTCAGCGCATGCTACAATTGCAGTTTATATCAAAGAGTAAAACAGAATTGGTTTGGGGGCTCGGCACCATCAGCTTTATTTTATGCTGTACGTTTAATGCAGTTGTTGTCATGTTATCAGTATTGTGAGCTTTATTAGCTGTGATCACATACTGTCCTGAACATTACTGCCACCATGGAGAGCAAAATAAAGACCAGCTAAGGAAAAACACACCTGTCTGCTAGTTTTTTTCTTAAACAGATTATAATTGACACATTTTAAAAGGTCTAAACCTACAATTATTTAGCGTGTTTCTACCAGGAAAGTCCTTTGGTTAACTTGTTTAGATCAAAAGCAGATTTTTTATTTATTTCTTACAGCTTTCATTCACATTGTATTTATAGCAAGTGAACTATAGCTGATGTTAAAACTACTTGTGTGATGATTGGACAGAAACGACAAGGATAGACGGAGCACATACCCAGAAACGGAGGAAGTCCTGCATGCTGCACCTTTGTTCTGCATGTTTGTGCTTTGTTTTTGTTTTTTCACAACTGCAAAATCTTTGAGGGTAAAAAGCAACTCATTCATGCCATGCATGTATCGGCAGGAGATACTCAGAATGCTGGTAGCAGATTTGATCAACAGATTGCTTATGAAACAAGATTTCAGCACTCGGTTTACAGCTACAGTGGCTTGTTAAGTCCAAACAGACCTGTTTTCTGTTGGGTTCTTAGCGAGGAAGTTTCATATTCACACCAGAAGCGACGTAGACAGAGACCCTGTTATATACAGATGCATTTCAGGAATAAATATTTCAAAAATTCAGAACAAATGTGGAACTCCAGATATAGAACGTGACACAAGTGTTAAAATCAATTAACACTGATTATTATGGTTTGAGTAAGAAAAAGCAAAATTTTGTTTGTATGAAATGTTTTATATTTAAGGATTGTTAAGTACAAATGTAATGTTTTGGCTTACATAATGACTGAAAACACTGATGATGATGGTTTTCCAACAGCCATTCAGACAAAAGTTTAAATAAGTTTTTATGAAAGCATTTGGAAGGAAAAAAAGGCAATCAAAAGAGGAGAAGCAAGGACCACTTAGGGGAACACACATTTAACTATATAGTGTCACGCCATTTTAGATAAGTTTCCGAATGTCTAGTGGATGGAAAAGTATTGGACTCGAAATTTTCCACAATGCACTTTGAAAAGTAATGATCAGTGATGTTCTCTAGATGAGCAGATATATCCCATGATGCTTTGCGAGAGGTCTACTTGCAAAGCGTAGTGGGATTTGTTGTAGCGGCGGTAAATAATAGAGATGGCACAGACACCGTGCAGGGAGGCGGAGTTATGTGACCAAAAGTAGTTGTTATATATCTGGACGTCAATTAACTGAGTTCACTATAAAGTCAACTATATAGACTCTGCTCTATATAGTCATTGAGTGATGGACGTGTGGACGTTCGGACACAGCCTGTTTCAAGTGCCACAACACGGCTATGTCTAGGACGGTTAGTCACTTTCCTCTGTTAAGCTACTATTAATCTTGAGACATTTTTAGCAAGAAAAGGGACTGCTGCTGGTCATTCAACAGTCCTTTTTTCAATAAAACCTCAGCAGCTCCACAGGCTGATTAACTCAAAGCTAAAAAAAAAAACTCCAAACAGGTAATGGGTGTGATTCTCACACTTTCATTTCCATCACTGGTGCTTTGTAAGCTGCTTTTCTGAGAACTTTTATTAGAATCAATGATACAACCTTTTCAGCCATATTTATTGATATGCTTCTGTACCAAACCAAGCACGTCTGTGAAAGTTAATCATCATAGTTTTTAATTGAACATACAGTATCTCTCAACAAAACACAGAATCAAATTGTTCCATACTTTGTTTCATTGAAACATTAACAAATCTACAGCACAAGTCTTTGAGTTGCAGTTGAATAAATATCATTTTTTAAAGTGAGATTCAACAGTCGAAGCATTTATAATCTGTTTTCTAATGACAGCAATTCTAAACAAACTGTTTACTGACTGGACTTCCACCGGGTTATTGCCATCTTCAGGGACCTGTTTGGGGTGAGCAGGGTGGTCTTCAGCGGCAGGTTAGTCATTGGGCTTGTTTTGTTCTTGCCTCGGATCCAGCTCTCGATGGATTCCCTCTCGTAGGAGTACCCATCTATAGAGCAGTTGGAAATAAGACACCAATTTTACTTTTTAACACTGAAGCGATGGGGGGCAAAGATTTTTTTTTTTTCCTTTTTATGAACAAACCTGCAGCTATTACTGGATCCTTCATCAGCTCCCTGGAGATTGGGCACAGAAACTCATCTGGAGCTTCTGAACCACTCTGCTCCAACTTGAGGGCCTCAATTTTCCTTAGTAGACGTCCACGAAGACCTATGGACTCTGGGGAAAAATAAATAACACCAGTAGCCACATAATGTTAGTCAGTAGGACACTGTTCACATGAAAATATTTAGCTATGTCTTTTCTAGGGGTCAACTTGGTTTATTTACTTTCTCTTGAGCTAAAGTGAGTAAATGCACAGAAAAGCGGCTGAAGCAAAGAAAAGAAGCGGAGAAAAATCTGTGCTGAGTCACAAAGAACCAGACACTTTGCTCCACAGCTAAGGCTCCTGTTATTGTGCTAGAGAATAAAGGTCCAGCACGTCCAAAAGAGCAAAAATCTCTGTGCACGTCTCTGCCTGCTGATGCCCGCTCCTCTGAATTTATCTGCAGCAAATTTCCTAAACAGCTAAAACGGCAGGGCGACCTTTATGGCTGAATATGATTTGTTGTGTGTCTGTGTGTAATGGCTGAGCCGCAGAGAAGCATGTCTCATTCAGGCAGCATGAACAGCTGCCGTGACATTTTCTAGCATGACTTTTCAAATCTTGACAACTTTATTACAATAGAAGGCACTAAATGATTCAACATATTTGAACCCATTTTCTGCTCTGTGACACTAATGCAACCATGAAAGTGTTGCAATTTCGTTTAAAAGGATTGGCAATAAGGGATAGTGAAGTTTTAGGTAGCAGAACGGAAATTTATTTATCAAATTATATATCTTAGAGAATAGCTGGAGACTATTCAAAGCAAGCAGTATTTCTTTTTTGCTTTAGCCCCAGAAAAAAGTCACTAAAACTCTAGATTGGAACATATTTAAACTTCCTTTCAATAACCCATACGTTGAATAAAGACATTGTAAGTGATAGGTCACAGTAAAACATAGAAAAAGGGACATTGTAACCAGCTGCTATCATCACAAGAAGAAGGCAAGAAAGCAGTGGATTCTTATTGCAACCACTTAAGCAGTGTTTCATGCCTTGCTGTAAACTGTGTACATCCCTAGACATTCATTTAACGTTTATTAATACAGGCTTTCTCACTGAGATCCAATATGTCATATACAAAAGAGACCTGTTTTAATAATAACAAAAACACATAAAGCTAAAGATATTAAAGCAACTCAAATTAAAAACAACCGACTCAAATTAAATGAGAGTTTGCTGAGATTTATTTAAAGAAATGTCAGTTATTACATAGAAATAACTGGAGTGCTCTGTTCAGACAGAAGTAAAAATTGGAATAATTGTCCATAATGAAAAGCATGACATTAAAAATGTAAAGGATGGGGGAATCAGGAGTGGTGCTTTGCTGCAGGAGGACATTGGAACACTTTTCAAAAGAGATGGGATGAGGAAAAATATTACAGCAAAAGCTCAAAACCTTCACCAGGACATTATAGCTAAAGCACATATTTCATAATGGACATGGAGTGACAAAGCCCCTGATCCTAGTCCTACTTTGTGGGAAAAGCTGTGGGAGGGCCAACCCACAAACGCGACTCGCGCAAATACCTCAAAATATTTGACCCAAGTGATGGTTAAAAAAAAACAACACAAAACATTCAAACAAAATAGCAGTTATATCAAAAATGCATGTAACCATATTTTAAAGGTTTTTCAAGGGATTTTTCTTCAGCGTCTTAAAAAAAGTGTATCTTTCATTATTTAACCAAAGACATTTCTGTAACCTTAAATGACTTGAACTAGGAAGAGTTTAGTCTCATATATTATCAGGCAGTAGGAAAAAGATTTTCACTTGTTTATGGAAATGAATACATTCTAAATTCTGAATAATTTCCTAAAGCCTAAACTACAACTGCAAGTTCTGCTAGAAAAAAACAACTATCTAACGATTACTTCATTGCCAGAAACTCGCAGTGATAAGGCAAACACTTTAATTACTGCCTCTGTTTACATGCAATTTTCACAAGTGTTACATTTATTAAAGAATTAAACAAGGCTGCTCAGTGGAGCAGTGGATAGCGCCACTTGCCTTGCAGCTAGAAGATTCCGGGTTTGATTCCCGGCCTGGTGTCTATCTGCATAGAGTTTGCATGTTCTGCCTGAGCATGTGTGGGTTCTCTCTGGGTACTCTGACTTCCTTCCACAGTCCCAAAACATGACTGTTAGGTTAATTGGCTTCTCTAAATTCTCCTTAGGTGTGCGTGAATGGTTGTTTGTCCAGTTTGTCTCTGTGTTGCACTGCGATGGACTAGATAGGCACCAGCACCCCTTGTGACCCCAGCAGGGATAAGTGTGACAGAAAATGGATGGATGGATAAGACTTCAACATATAGATGTTTAGCTTGCTGGGATGACCGTTGAGCTAATCGCTCTGTTCCATCTCTGTACTCTTCTGAACCTTGTAAAAGGCTTTGGATATTAGTTTCAGATTAATTTCTGATTCTAAAACTCTTTTTTAAATCATTGTTTCTTTGTAGCTATCACCTTTAACATTGTAAAACATGGAGAAAATAAAAACATGGTATCCTCTGGATTCAGATGTATATTTACATGTATATAACTGACAGGACACTCAATGAGCTATACTGTTTAGTGGCTTTTTGTACATGATGCTGATGCAGATGCTGAAATGTTTTCAGATTCACAATCTAAATTAAAAACTTGATTGTGCCAATGGCAGCTATAAGAGATGTAACCTGTAGATAACTCTCCCGACCAAACTTTTTTTTTCTTGTCAGGGCTCAGGACTTGCTCACGCAGTATAGCAGTCTATTTCTTCAATCATCACTGCAAAAAAAAAGTCTTAAGCTGAATCTCCCACAAAGGGGAAGAAAAGGTTGTCTGTTGATGCCGTTTATGTTAATCCAATGCAAAAGTATTCCCGCCTTTATAATATGTCTGT